GCAGCATGGAGGGTACTTGAGGTGTTAGAACAGGGACATCATCACGACGCTCCCCTTCGGACTCAGTATCGAGGATGACCTGGGGATCTTCTTGAAAAACTGTCGGTACCGTGGAAACCACACCTCGAATCAGAGAGGAAGATTTTGGTACCAAAGAGGATGGTCCCTCTATCGGTGATGCAGGACTCGAGGTCGAAGGTGAAAGAGGCCGAGAAGAGGATGGCACTGGCTCCTTAGACCTCAAACCCTCAGATGGAGAGGGACGGGTTTTCTTGGCAGAGGAGTCCCTTGATCTCTCCCTTTCTGAGGAGTGCCTCCTTTTCGAAGTCTTTTTGGCTCGGTGTCCCTCCGAGGAGCAACCACCCTCGAAGTGAGCTTTTTTAGGCCTTTCCTAGTCCTTTTTTGGAGTCTCCATCTGATTTGGATGCCTTCTTTTGGGGGCTAGGCTTGGACTTCTCAGGGGCCTCAACAACAGTTGAAGGTCTGGGAGCAGGGCTTGAGGCAGGTCTAAGAGCCTGCTCGTAAAGAGCCACTTTAAGCCTCTTGTCCATGTTCCTCAGGGCCTGTGAGGTCAGAGATCTGCACAAGGCACACGATTGGGGCTTATGGCCTTCGTCCAAACATAAGAGGCAAGAGGAGGGGGGATCCGAACCAGGGATCTTACCCCCACATTTCCCACATTGCTTGAAGATGCAGGAAGCCATCGTCAAATCCAAATCCGAAAACGAAGTCAAGACAGTCCAAGTCAATCGATCAGCAAACAGACGGTAGTTAAGGGAGATCCAAAAGAAAGCAAAGGTCAAACACAAGAAGATAAGCCGTCGTCAATAGCGAAACCAACAAAAGCTCCTTTGAAGCTGTTAATGCGGCGGATGAAAGGAACTGGAGAAGAGCAGGACCGCTCGGAGACTTTATAGGGATGGGCAGAGCCACTGCCAAAAAGTTGCAACTAAAGTTCTGCCTAGCGATTCCAAAATTTCTGAAGTTGCTGCACATGCGCAGATAAAACCCATTTGTGTGATTCGCAGCACGAAGAAGAAATATTTTATGTGTAGAATTGCTCTAGAACTGAGTTGAGTAGGGAAACAATCATGAAGACATCTCAAAGTCCTTGCATGAGGGAGTGGCAGAGCCCCCAACATCCCACTTGCTCCAGGCTTCAGAAACCCACTGGTCAGCCTTCAAACAGATTATGCACAGGTAGCTTCTACAGTGGGCTCAGGATCCCCTATGGATATCAAAATCTGTGGATGTTCAAGTTCCATTAAATGCAATGGCGTAACAAAATGGTGTCTCTTATACAACATGGCAAAATCAAGGTTTGCTTTTTGGAATGTATTTTTTAAAAATATTTTCTAAGCATAGATGGTTGAATCCATGGATAAACAATCAGCAGAGGGCTGACTTCACTTTACACTTGCAATCCACTACCTACATTAGTTAAAATGATACATTTGGGTTGAATGAATTGAGGGAGATTCATTACTCTTAAAAATGGCATTTCCTGCACTATGAACTTACCCAGCCAGATACAACCATAGAGCTCCACTCTGAGGCAGACATTTGTGGAGTGGTCAGTTATGGGGATAAAGCGAATGAATCGGCCAATGATGGGTGGCTCCAAATCCTTGAGAACAATGTCATATGGGTTGGTGTTTCCATCAAGTATCTGTGGGGTGGGGAGAGGACACATACAGTGAGAAAGGAAATGGCTGCAGGACAGTCATGGTAACTGTACTTTTTAAAACTAGGGAGGTTAGTTACTGTTATTCTGCAGGTGTCCTCTGGCTGCTAAGCCAGCACATATATTATTTTTCTATTCATCAGATCAGTTCCACTACAAATTTAATCTAGTTTTCAAAGCAATTATATATTTCACACTACTGTGGCTTCTCTCAATTCATAAGATTTAAAGCCTGATAGAGTTCTCAGAATTCTTTGTTCCTTGACACCTTATACTAGGAGAACTATTTCCTGAAGCTGGTTTTGTTTTACTTTGTTTTACTGGAGATTTTTTTTTCATTTGACCAGAAGAACCTTTCCCATTACACCACTTTCACAATCTAATCTCAGTGAGAACAATTCAGAGTACCAAAGATCTCACTTTGAAAGCAATAGCTGACGTCACAGCCTGCCGCGTCATTTGCGCGTGCGCAAAACCTGCGCA